ATGTGGTAAGTGCATTGTGAGTGTGGTGGCTAGGGAAGGGGGGTAGGTGGTAGACTTAATGTTGGGCTTTATATAAAAAACTAAAATGAGTAAACTATTTTTGTATTTTACCAGGTAAGGCCCACAGAGCTATATAGCTCTTTTGCATAAGCGACCTGGCCACAAATGAAAGAGCAACGAAGTGGCTTATCATGTGGAAACTTATATCAGCCAAATAGTCTAAACAGATGTTCCTAAATGTGGAGGGAAAAACCGGAGGACCCGAATAAATATCCACACGACCATGGGTCGTGATGGAACCCACGACCTCCTGCATACCAGGCAAAGTAGTTAACATTTTTCCACCGTGACGCCCATGTTGATGAGGTAGCTATATAAGTCTTCGTCGTCATTTATTATTTATATTATGTCTACCATAACTCCCATGGAGTAGATGTCAAAGTACCGGAACAAATAGATGTTCAAGATAATTACTCAGTGGGTGATTGCAGACCAGATCTGATGTTCAAAATCAACGCAATGTCGACAACACACACACACAACATATGAAAAAAAAACTAAGTTGAAAAACGAATCTGTGCTTGAGCCTTATTCTCCCTTGCAGGAAAGTCTTGCATACAAACGCAACATCACAAATAACTATGAAGCATTAAAATAAGTGGAATAATAAGTGGCTCGCTGGCACGAGGATAGGAAAAACATGCTTGCAATATATACGTGCGTGTTTTTCCAATTGCACATAGACATGCTATATTATAGATGTGTGTATATACGCTGGAGAACAGACCGTATGACTAACATCACGTGAAAACATTTGATCGTGTTGGGGAAAAGCACACAAACCTTTTTAGGTTTGGATTTTTTTCCCTTTCCTCATAGTTGCCGATGATGTAAAACTACATTATATACACAGTGGGTTTAAAATATATGTACGTGTATATATAGAAGAAGTGAGTAGTTCAAAGGCGCACAAGCACCGTGCCTTTCTCTGGGCGTTCCTAATACCTTTCTTGCATACCTTACGTCAAGTCGAAATTGAATGGGCATTATTGTCGAGAGAATATACCTTTGTGCTTATGGAGATATGCTCTGGCTAAAAAAAAAATATGGATGGGGTTCACCCATCACCTTGACAGGTTAATGGCCTCCTAGAACATTGGGTGGAGCAAGAGGTGTTCACTTGGCCAACAACAAAAAGATTCTCGCCAAAACTTTTTTTTACGTGTGTGTCCCATCTCCTCTGTCTGTCTGTGTCTTCCCTGGGCTGGGGGCAATAGATGTTGTGGAATTTTTCGGGCCCATTCAGAAGGGAGTCTGCATGCCCCACAGGTGCTCAAGAAAAGTGCGAGTAGAAGCCAAGGGACGGTATGGATCTCTTTGCAGTAACCCGTGCAGAGCTAATATTAGTCCTCGAACGGCACAATGGATATTTTAAATTCCCCAATTTTAGTCACGGTTCACTTAAGGTGTTTTTTGCAAAGGTAAAGGTGCAGCCCTGCAATTGCATTGCCGTGCAACTGCTGGTAAAGGAGCCTCCACTACAGGGAGTTGTGGAGAGCCCCTCTCTAGAGGGTGTTTGGCTTACTCTTCCATGCTGACCAGATGTTTCGGAAGAGGTAGGAGTACTCGCACTTTGCCCTACCACACGCCACCTGTGCAGGATCGACTAAATGTGGCGTACCCATTTATACAGTGTACTAGCTGCGTGGACAGAGGTGGGGGGGGGGGGGGGGGGCAGGTGGGGGGCCAGGTGGGGGGGGGGGGGCACATAAATTTGCCCATCGTTTAAACTGCCCTCCCCGGAGATTCTGAACTACAAGTCGAGTGTTCTAAAGCATGACATCCCTTTTTTTGTGTATACTTTTTACTTGTCAATGCTGAAATTAAGTCAGTCAAATCTGATAACGTTACCTTAATTAACCAGTTTTTGTTTTCTGGTTAAATTGGTTCAGCTTGGTTTTTTATGTAGATTGTTTATATATACTGTATATAGATTGCGGACAATATTTTGGCAACAGGCGTGCATATGAAGAAATGTGTAAGCAGGCCACAGCAAACGTGTGCAAAACACGAATGTCAACACTTAAAAATCGTATTTTATTTATTTGCTCAATAATAGCTATTATTACATACGTCATTCCTTATACGTGTGATATACTAGAGTGATTTACATCGTTAAACGTTAATACGTTCGAGTTTGTTTATTATATTCATGTTTTTTGCCATATTCGAGACAAAACATCAATATGTATGTACTTGTGCATTTATGTATATCAGCGGACACGAAGTAGTTAACTATATTCATGCTGCCATGCACTCTTGTTTTACATATGTAATGAGCGACTTCCACGACATGTTGTATAGAGGGTACGTATTCTTTATTTCTCACACTGGGCACAACACAGGCCAACACTGGTTCTTCCTGTCACTGAATATAACTCGAGGCAATAACACCTCTACTGGCTACACGCACAGCCGATCACTCGGCGGGGTCCTCTCGCCCTCACTCGTCTCCGCCGCTGGCTGGCGGCGTGACGATGACGGTGATGAAACCCACGCAGGAGATCATCCATGTGGACGGACGATGGAGAGAGATGTCGGTGAACAGCGACGCAGCCAGGACCCAGGACCCCACACACGAGGCCCGAGCCCCGGGTCCCCTCCCACTTACATCCCCCCAGGCGTGGCTAAGCCCCGTCTCCGGCCACGCCCTCTCGTGGAACCTTCGAGCAGGTTCCCGGAACATCTCGGCTAACCCCACCTGTTACCTTTGCTTCAGATACGTCTCCTTCCCTGATTGGCTGTTACCTCTGTGGCTGTACCCGTAAAACCCTTCCCAGGCCAGCAGGTGTCACTTTGTCATGTCAGCAGGTGTAACCCGGTCATTACACATATATTCAATGACTTACAGGGAGGAGTGGTGATGCAGTTGCTTGTAGAGAATTCCACCATAAACCCAATGACCCAAGTTCAAACTCCATCCATGGCTAAGACTTCTGGCGAGTGATATCTGGATCAGTCTTCTTAAACCCCCACCCCCATCCCAAACCAGAGTGGTGAAGTATGGTCAAACAACCCCCTTGATCGAAGGTTGGGTAGGTGCCTTCATCTAGTAGTGGATTAACAAAGGGCAGTACACACTACCTGTTTATCAAGGACTTGTACAATCAAAGTATTGATTAGCTTATAACATACAAAGTCATAAATCGGGGTTCAAATTACAACTAACCTAAACAATATAAACGTTTAGCCTAATCATTACCGAAAGCAAGTTTCAACACTGTCATATACATGTCACCATTATTGGTCCATGATGCATTCACTTTTTGATGAAGGCCCTCTTCCTTATCCCCCACAGCGTACCAATCCCACAATGCCAGAGTACATCTTTACTTTATGGGGACCTCATTTGCCAGTAAAAATATGATAATTGGTTCTTTACCCTTCTATCTGGCAACAAAACTGACACCTTTTTGCAAGGAGTCATGTTTGCATAGACCGCAATACCTGCAGTCATAATACAAACAAAAGAACATAACTCTGATAATGTGCACTGTCCTTGAAGTTGATTGGTCCACACCCGAGACAGCTTTCCTTCGAGCCTAGTCTCATATGGGTTGGACCAGATGACGCCAAAAGGCGCCTTTTGGCGTCATCTGGTCCAACCCATATGAGACTAGGCTCGAAGGAAAGCTGTCTCGGGTGTGGACCAATCAACTTCAAGGACAGTGCACATTATCAGAGTTATGTCTTTTGTTTGTATTTATGACTGCAGGTATTGCGGTCTATGCAAACATGACTCCTTGCAAAAAGGTGTCAGTTTTGTTGCCAGATAGAAGGGTAAAGAACCAATTATTACATCTTTACTTGTTCACATGAACCGATCGCGCATTACTCCATCTCTGTGGTGGTGCTCAACCCTCTCTTTGCACACGTTTCATCCTTCAGCTGCTATTCCCCAACAGTTATCCTCCACCGCTGTCCATCCCTTCTCGCAATGTAACCACCCAAGGTCTCCTACATTTTTTTTTAACAGTCAATCCGATGCCTCCTAGACTTGCTTGCGGTCTCTCGAGCTTGCGTTCCCCTCTTCATGCATCACATTGTTACTCCAAATGTGCACCTCTCCGTTTTTTTATTGCGTATTGGCCAGGTTTTGGGCATTTCCTTTATCGTTGTCCACATTTTACGATGGTAATGTCCTTAACAGGGAATATTCGCTGATCGAAGAGAGTCTAAATTTTTTTAGGCAGACTGGTATGTTGCATACCAGCATAGACGTAGGTTTTCCAAAAGCACTCCGACCTGCTACGGTTCACCTCTGTATTTCATCGTGTTGATCCTGATCCACATTCAGTAACTGCCAAAGGTATACAAGTCCTGTTGTGATTCGTAGCTGACCGTCGGGATGGGCCATGGAAATTATCTGGCCAATTTTTTTTGACGTCATTATTCTTTCAGCTCACCCCGCAGGTAAAAGAATGTCGCAACCCAATTTAGCGATTATCTCTGACATTTTGCTTGAGACTACATCAAGCGTGTTATAACTCTGTGTTTTCCAAGTTGTGTTCTTCCAACACTTTTGTTTTTGAGTATTTTCCTCGATGCATGTACGGTGTCTTTTTTTTTACCTTAACTGCTAATAACAATAAGAGTTGGCTTGTTATGGAGCACCCTTTACACCAGGGAATCTCACAGCCCGACTTAGTAAATGCCATTAACAATACTTGAAATTGCTATGATGAAGATGGTATGTGTTTGATTACATGTAAAAAAACAGCCCTATTCAATATTCTTCTAATAAAATATAAAAATAATAATACCGAACTATGTTTTTAAAATAAATAGCAAATTAATTAATGTTCGTTTATGGATGAAAGAACAAAAAGAGCAAAATACATTGATATGGATTGATAAGGGGAGGAGCCCCCACTCATAGTACAATTTTGAAAAGCATTGCTATCTTGATGAACTCCCTCTTCTATCTGCTTTCTTATCAGGTCCCTGCACAGAGGGTCACGTGAACGAGGGCACGCGATGAAGAGGAACCCTCATATATGAAACGGTGCAAATGAATAAGTGCCTATTTGAGGTGAGCAGTCACATTCACTTTATATTTAAACCAAAATATAAACTTAGATTACGAATAATCATTGCAGGTGTGGATAACGGGGAAGTACATCGACTCTGCCATCGTATCTAGTTATGTAAATGTATTGAAAGGAATGTTACTACGGTGGGATGGTTAGCGCACTGGACTTGCATTCCAGAGGTCACTGGTTCAATATCCCGACGAAGGCGGTTGGAACAATGGGGAAAGTTTCTGAAATATCCCCATGCCTCCATCCACCCAGCAGTGTAAATGAGTTCACCACAATAAGTTGATCGGCAGGTCACGTGGAGTGAGGTAGAGTGAGTGTGGGTATTGCCGCCACCTTCAATAAGTCTCTGGCTAGTGTGGAAGAGTAGGCCAAAAAATCTCTTTCGGAGCTCTCTATTGTAGACGCTTCACCCGCAACAGTGGCATCAAGCGATACGTTGCAGAGCTACACCTTTTTAGTTAGGTGTATATCGAACGTGAAATGTATGCCCGTAAGTTTTCATCTTGAAATGTGAAGGTAACACGGACGCACGTCAGCATATCCAGCCCCGTATTAAAGACATGCATTTCACAGCATGGTTTGCTGAAATATACTGTGTAACTGAAGGCAATTTTTGGAATGGGTTTACATTATTGAGTTGTCGTTTAACCTCCAGCCTGTGCACACTCGATGGCAAGATGGTTTTGGCACGCGTAAAATATTGGGTCGTGGAAATTTTCATCACACGGAACATAGCTGGACCAATTCCTCAGCATTGATGATTGACGCACGCATTGCACCCTAAGCCCTGCGACTCAAATGCGCCATGCAACCTGTAAGCCCTCGCCCAACAGGTACATCAACCAATCTGCCACGCTGGCTTAGCCCAGGCAGCATTCACTCGTCTCTTTCCAGACAGCGTGTTATATGATGCATTTCTGTTTGAACAAGCTTAGCAGCTCCATCTCGAAATTGCTTCTCGAATGTGCTTATGTAAAATACATCCCACATGACGTTACAATGAATGTGGCTTCATAAAACGCTTTGCATGTTAGTAAGAAGATGTTACATGCGGTAACCGTGTCACGTATTCTCAGATGAGCACGTTTGGCTACATACGGTGTGGAAAAAGTTTTCTATACATAGGCGAAAAGGCTGGTTATATGGGCGTCTATAGATAATGACTGAACTAAATAAAGCACAATATGCTTTAAAATGGGGAAATGCTTGACTGAGCTTTTAGAAGTGAGCGAATGTTTGCTGGATTAAGAACGCATCACTGTGTGTGAAACGGTCGGAATTCTGAACGTCTTTAGAGAATGATGGCTACGGGGCAGATATGCTACGTTGTACTGTATAAGTTCATTTCGTATTATGTAATGCTCTTGTAAGACCACTGCATTGGCATTGTAATTAATACGGTGGGTAAGTCTTTTTTTATTTAAATAACAAACAAAAGTGAGAGAATGAATCATCCCAAATGAGTCACGATGGAAAATGTCCTCGCTATGTATTGTCATTCCCCAGCAGCCAAGACACCTTCTGAATGAGCATGATAAAGTTGCCATTGCATCTGTTGTGCAACTCAGTTGGGAATCCGTCATTCAACCAGGTGAGAACACTGAGATTTTCTACTACTTATCGTTATCAAGGGACGTCTGGGATACCATAGCTTCAAAGGATTATCATTATTATTATTCATTTGTGGGTAGGTTTTTCAGAAATTGGATTATTACATGGGCACACACTGGCCCAATTGCTCACCGCTTGTGAACAATCTCGCAAATCAAATGGTGAATTTTGGTAGAGTACTATTTCACGTAGTGGATTTGCTGAGAGGGGGCTTAAAGAATTGAACCCTTGAATTACATTCAAACTGCCTCGGGAGGCCAGCGCTATTGAACACAAAGCTACGGAGTTTCCCCATTACTATAACGTAACAGTAATACAACTAATGATGCCCTTTGTTTACCCAGGAAAGGCTCGGTCGAGTCTCATGTCTTCTTTTTCAGGAGGCTGCTGCCATCTTCAACGTTCGGCCAATTCCATTTAACGAGGGTGTTCAGCTTTGTGTGGGGAGGCAACGGAGTGTCCAGAGGAAAACTTGTGCGCACGACAGGATAACACTCAAGCTCCACATAGGTTACTTCAGTGATTCTTAACCTGGGGTGTGCTCACCCCCCGGGGGTGCGAGATGGCCTTTCTGAACACCAAAGGCGGGGGGGGGGGATACAGGCTGCAGTGAAGGTTAAGAACCACTGTAGTGCCATCTCTGACCCTCCTCGCAGCCTGAGTGAGTTTGGAAGTTTTACATAAACTGTGTGCAATTTACAAACCCTCGCCTCCACGCTGTGGACCATAGTGCTGGTCATCGGGCCGGAGTTAAATTATAACATGAGTGTGCTTCCCGTCCCGCACCTTCGAATGAGAGGAAAATAATTGAGTTGTTTCGTTCTGATGTTATGGTGTTTGCAACGTTTGATGTGCAGAGGTCGAGCCCGGCTGTGAAAGTCTGTCGGGAATGACAAATGTTTCCTTGCATGTGTGGCAGCGTGCTCCTGCGTGCGCGCGTGCAAGTGGGTCTGTGCCTTCGCCGAGTGGGGTTCCTGGCACGGTGATTTGTAATGTGCAGAGACAAAAATCACATTGCCAGGGATTACCGCTCAGTGATTGTCGTTTCTGCTGGATCGACTTTTGTCTCACGTCTCGAGCGCCTGCCACCTAAAATTTCCCAATTATAAGATCTCCCGAGGCGTCTCTGCCCTTTGACCTTGTTTCTCAAAATGCTACGACTGACTGATGGTACATGAAAACTAATCAGGAATTGTATTAATCAACATTTCCAACAGCGGTCTCAAATGTGCAGGGCATTGCGTAGGTCTTTACGGTTGTCTATGCGGTTTCCCGGTTGTACGGCGCGTTCGGAGTGATGCCCGATGTTTTGCTCCACTTCCTAGGTGCTTCTCTGGGAACTAACGAGTTGAATATTCGGCATGATGTCTGATGTTTCACTGCACGTGTTGGGAGCCTCCTTAGGAAATGATCAGTTCTTCAGTTGTCCAAAGTTTTACTTCAACGGCAGGGTGTTCTGTGCTTTGTTAAATGTGAAGAACAGACTATTCAGTTCTTGAAAAAGCTCTCGCATCAGACATGATTGGAGAGAGATGCACAATGTTCCACTTTAAAGAAAATGTACTTGTCCTGAGCATGTGTATCCTTCATTACAATCATTAACATGTTACCATTCGTAAAAATGTAGTTTAAGAATCGGTTTTATTAGTCACCGCATTTATCAAAAAGTATAAGCAGCCTCAATTATACTACGGTTTTTGTTCCTCCCATGTATAAGCAGCTACCAAACTCAGTCACGCCCTCCAATTTTTTGGGCAGATTGCACAACACATGTTTGCAACACTTAATCCAAGCTTAATGGAGATCATAAAACCTCAGACTTTGTCTGTGTTTCTTGGTTCTGTGTTTGTTCCTTGCTTCCTCTTTTAAAAGTTGGAACATGGAGTATGAGCTTTGCTATTTATTGCCGAGTCCCGTCGTGGGTGCGTCACAATGGGTGTTACTCGTAATACAGTTTTTGGGTGAGATCGCGTTCTTTTAAATTACTCGCAAATTGCTTTAATGGGTTAAAAACACGTAGCAACATCATCCATTCTCTCACTTTTTTCATGAAAAGACAACGTATTAAGTCCCAATTTATAGTCTGACCCATTACCTGCAGACTATACTAATCTGTGAAACAGAGCACATTCTTGATTGTCTTCTGCTGTAAGATTGGAGCTCATTCCAAAAGTAAATTGTTATAATTCTGTAACTCGCTCACCAGGATTGGTGGGGTTCATATAATCTCCTGTCTGGGTGAGTTTGTAAGTCGGGATTGGGTGATTGTCAGGTTTTGCTGGAGAATGAAAATAAATAAATATTATTTTAAATATCCACAGCAGTAGGAGGTTTAATACATGAAGACACGGGAGACTTAGCCACCGCTGACATATAGATTGCTTCCATGTGCGATTTAGATGACTGTTGCAGTCAGTATTTTACAATGACAGATGCAGTGGTCTCCGGGCATGTGGCCCCCGCATAGCCATTCAGACTTTTGGGGCAAGTTCTGTTCGCGGGCACCTATTAAGGCGCACAAGGTGGTGTGGTAAGAACTATGGCCGGCTGCCTGTGTCTCCCCAGTGATAATGTGTACACATTGCACCAGTACCACATTTAATGTTGAGTCAACCTAGGGCCGGCCCCACAACTCGTTCAAACATCACTCGCCGCTGATGGTAGCTGTGTGGCCAGGATTTGAACTCTGGTTGCCAGTTGTGCAGCACATTGTGTTAACCATTGCGCCACCACTCCCTACGTGCAACAAGCGCACACAAACGCTGGCGCAGACACCGCAGCCTTTGATCTTGCCCAGCCTCAGCTGCCACCAATACTCCCCGCAAGAGAAACCCTACACAATGTCAACAGTAACTCTATACATTTCTTCCCTAGATGCTGCAGTGCAGGACTTAGTTGCTTGTGAGCAGTGCCTTGCTTTCTGTCTTGTTCACAGTGGCTAAGTTCCACACCTCAGCAGACCATGCGTCAAACGGCAGCGCAGGCCATGCATGAAGAGACTTGCATTGTTGTGGGGCGCGTCATCGCGCATACCGCGACATTGCAGTCCGGGGTTACATTTCGTCCCCTCCTCTCGGCACGATAGCAAGTATCTTGCAGACCCGGCACTGTCTTACGTGTTAAAGGAAAAAAAGAAAATGCTCTTCTGAATTCGACAAGAGAAACCCCATCATAGCGTAAGGTTAGGTGAAGCCGAAAAAAACGAAATGGTCTCAATCAGCACACAAAGAAACGCGTAATTAACACTCAGGGTTCTGTGCACTGCGTAAAAATCGAACTGCTGATTATTATTTTTGAGGTGACGTTTGAAAAATGTAATTGCTGATTGCACGCAGTGGACCCCGGCGCGCGTCGCTTGAGGAGGGTGGCTGTGATTTTTCAGAGGGGATAGCTGCGGATTCCGAATTATTTTAGTTATTTCTATGTCCTAAGTCTGCTAGAACCGGAGAGTGGTAGAGTGCCCCCCCCCCCCTATCTGGGCCGGATCTTCTGTGCCTACTGTTCTGACATCAGTCGTCTATAAAAAGCACTGGCTCAGTTCAGCAGGAACAGAAGTCTCGTCCATTGTCTGCCATCCATTCAACTGTTATGGAAATTGTGTTTTACAATTGTGTTTTACAATTGTGGCGTGCGCTGCAGTTGAAGTGGGATTAGCGCTGCCAAGCACAAGCCTGGGGGGCTCAAGCTGAGATTGTTTTGGTCTTTGTGATGTGCTTGAGTGTATGTATTTGTGTGTGTCTATATGTAGGGAGCGGTAGCGTAGCGGTGAGCGCGCTGCGCTACTAACCGGGCAACCAGACTTCGATTCCCGCTTACGGCGAACACCAGTGACGATTATCTGAACCGGTTCTGGGCCTCCCCTAGGTCTACTCTGCCTCAAATGAGTACATCATGCGATGTGTGAAAACATCACAAGAGAGGCGAACAGGCGTGGTGTTGGCCACACACCCCATCGTGTGCCGTGCCGGCCTTCATAGGTGCTTGCTCACAGCACTTGCCCCAACAGTCTATTATAGGCTATATGGGGGTTTGTATGTATGCAAAGCGGAAAGAGTAATGGTGCACGCACTGCCCTACAAATCCAGCTTACCCGAGTTAGTAACATCTCATCCTGTGTTCTTTGGAATCTGGCCATGGCTAACATATCAAGTGATATCTGAACCGGTGCTGACCGTTGTGGTGAAGTATAGCCAAACATCCCCAATGACATTATGTGAAAACGCCTTGAGCCGGCAGCAGGTTAGGAAAGGGCTGCTATACAGATTGCCCTCTCTTAATGCGGGTTGGGTATGTGTGATTTTGCAAAAATGCAGCTAACCTACTAACCAAAATGTGCTATATGCAGTTGGAATTCACTCAGACTTGGGACAGCATTGTTTGTGTACTGTATTCCCTATGCAAGCAGGCATAGGGCATCCAGACAGGCAGCTGTCTCGTGCAGGTTTTGCTTTGTGCCCCCAATGAAGCAAGTATTGAAACGAGCATGGCACGCGCTCGCCACGCCGTCGTCTCATGTACCATGCTGGTTTTAAACTCCGATTGATAGCAGCACTACCGTCGATCTGGAGGGTGAAACATGGACTCGTACGCCTAACGTGCCTCGTCTGCTGTGGATATTTCTTCGTTTTTTGTTTTATTTTCTCCAGAATGAAGCCAAATGGTGTTGCCAGTATCCGTGTCTGTGCGTCTCCTTTTTGAAACGAGTACAGACAGGACTGGCGTTCCAGACCACATGCACAACACAACCGATGGCTGCTTTCATCATGCTTCCCAGACAATTAATTTGAGAGTTTTGCGAAAAATATAATTTTGTTTAGAATAAACTGCAAGACCGTTGGTGAACACTGAAGGCTCAAATGTATTCACGATTATCTACGCTTTATTAATGCATGTGACGATACCCAATGTGAATGTTGTTGAAGATGCTTTAGTTTTTTTTATTTCAAATATATCAGCCTGAAGGGATCAACATTACACCACCACGAGTATCATGCTGGTTTACGTGTATTTCATGGGATCGCTGTGTTATTA